TACGAGCCACTGTCGCACGAGGAAGGGCCCTCGGGTCCAGCTGTCACCTGGAGTTCGTTCTACGAGACCGCCCAATACAACACGTGGGATGCGTGGTGCGTAGGGCTTCGGGCGCGCTTTGAGCCGATCGCGGCTTCGATTTCGGCACGTCAGAAACTGCGCACTTGGCGCCAGCTCGGGTTAGATCAAGACTATACCAGCGGTTTTCTCGCACTTTGCGAGCAGGTCGGCTACATGCACGAAGCGGAGCGGGTGGACCGTTACGTTGGGGGGCTGAAGCCGGACATCTCGCACGAGATAATGCTGCGCGGACTCTCTAATTTCAACGAGATTCTCGCGCTCGCTGAGAAGATCGACATCCTACGCCGACCGAGACCGGGGTCCTACTACGGACATCGTCCTCGGGGACCGACCGAGCACGCCACTGTACACGCCGTCGCAACGAATGCAGCTGTCGCACCGTTTAAGGGGCGGTGCTTTGCTTGCAACAGGCCGGGCCATCGCAAGAGCGAATGCCCAGAGGAGCTGAGGCGCCGGGGAGAAGAGCAGGGGAGGGAGTCTCAGAGGCAGGGAAACGCCAGCAGTCAGTAGAAGTTGGGCCAACTACTGACGAGACTGCCTGCTCGCCCAACCACACCGACCCTCACCGAGTCACAGTACCGATTCATGCTATTGATCGGGCTCGGATGAATAAGGAGGGTACAGCGACGGATTGCCCGGTACTGATCTACGGGAAAATACAGGGACCAGCACTGAAGATTTTTATTGACGGAGGAGCAAGTCACAGCTTAGTTAATACCGCAACCGCACGGAAACTACAGTTAACACTTAACCGATGCTTACCAGAGATAGATGCACGCTTAGTCGACGGCACGCCACTGGCTATACGGGAAAAGGTGGAGCGAGTAAAAGTCCGCTGCGAGGGGAACTTCGGGTTTACACAGGAAATGCTCGCAACGACACTGGATGGGCACGACATTTTATTGGGACGTGATTGGCTGCGACGGTACAACCCACGAATTGACTGGACGATGGGTAGCTGCACAGTGCGAAGTAGCGGTAACTGGGTCGTCCTACCTCGCTGGCAGCCACCCGAGTCTTCGACGGTCCAGGTCAACGCCATCACGATGAAACGGGCTGTCGCTGGTGGAGCTGACGTGTACGCAGTGGATATAGCACTAGTGGAAAAAGAGGAGCAGCCGAGTGATTTGCAGAAACTGTTGGCAGCCGTACCGCCCGAACTACAGGCACTACTGAAACGGTTCCCGGGTATCTTTCCGGATGACTTACCGCAAGGGCTGCCACCTCAGCGGGCGCATGACCATAGGATCGAGTTAGAACAGGGGGCACAACCAACTGTACAGCGCCAATTTCGACTGACACAGCCCGAGCTCCACGAGCTAAGGAAGCAGTTAGATTACCTGTTAGAGAAGCAGTTTATCCGACCGAGCTCGTCACCGTTCGCCGCACCGATACTGTTCACACCGAAAAAAGACGGAGGGTTTCGCATGTGCATCGACTACCGGGCGCTTAACAGGGTAACAGTCAAATCGCGATACCCTATCCCCCGCGCCGACGAACTGATCGACCAGCTGCGAATTGCACGAGTATTTTCGAGAATAGACTTACGGGGAGGTTACCATCAAATTCGGGTCGAACCATCGGACTGCGCCAAGACCGCATTTAGAACTAGGTACGGGTCATTCGAGTACACCGTGATGCCTTTCGGGCTGACCAACGCACCTGCAACATTTCAGATGACCATGAACGAGGCGTTTAGGCCACTTTTAGATAAATGCGTGATAGTTTACCTCGACGATATCCTCGTTTACAGTCGGGACAAGCAGCAGCACTTAGTAGATCTCGAAGCAGTTTTTAAGATTTTAGAGGAACATCGGTTACTCACCAAGGGCTCCAAGTGCGAGTTTTTTCGGGACAGGCTAGAGTTTTTAGGTCACGTTATTTCGGAGGCTGGGGTTGAAATCGACCCTAAGAAGCTGGATACCGTAAAAGCGTGGCACCCACCGACGAACATCACGGAACTGCAGAGTTTTCTAGGATTTGTTAATTACGTTCGACGGTTCGTCCCCGACATGGCACGTTTAACAGGCCCGCTAACTGATTTACTGCGAAAGGGGGTCCCTTTTACGTGGGGGGAGAAAGAGCATGCTGCCTTCTCTGCCCTGAAAAATGTTCTCTGTTCACCACCTGTCCTACGCATCGCTGACCCACACCGCCCCTTCGAAGTGGTTACAGACGCGAGTGACATCGCCATCGGAGCCGTACTGTTATAGGACTTCGGCAACGGCCTCCAACCCATCGCCTACGAATCACGCAAACTACATCCACCTAAGCGAAATTACCCGATAAACGACCGCGAAATGCTCGCGATCGTGCATGCATTCAAAGTGTGGCGCTGCTACTTGACCGGCGCAGACGTGATAGTACGGACAGACCATCGATCCCTACATTACCTTCGCGCACAGCCCTTCCTCAACCCACGACAGATTCGGTGGCTCGACTTCCTCGAGTCGAATTTCCACTATACGGTCACATATAAAAAAGGAGCCTCGAATATCGCCGACGCACTGACCCGCCCCACTGCCCAGATCCACGCAATACTACTCGCCCAGACCAGCCCGCTACTTACAGGACTATTTACCCACGGATATCAAACAGACCCATTCTTCACAAGAGGAAATTCACAGCAATTCGCAGCAGCCAAAGGAGTCTATTACGTAAAAGCTGGAACCGACCGCATCTGGGTACCAGGGTACACATTACTACGGAAACTACTATTACAGGAGGCACACGACGGAGTTACCTCGGGACATTTCGGAGTAGAGAAAACACGGCAACAGCTGCAGCGGTACTACTACTGGCCAGAAATGTTGACCGACGTGCAACGACACGTGGCATCGTGTCCCACTTGCCAGCTCATGAAGTCAAGCAGGAAACGGCCGGCGGGACAATTGCAACCAATCCCACCCCCAGAGCGTGCTTGGCAGCAGGTGACGATGGACTTCGTCACGGGGTTACCGGCTGGGGCGAGTGGGAATGACGCGATCCTGGTCGTCGTCGATCGACTAACGAAAATGGCACATTTCGCAGCATGCAAGAAATCAATCACAGCCGAAGAAACAGCCCGACTCTTCATCACCACCGTCGTTCGACTGCACGGGATACCAGCGTCGATCATCAGCGACAGGGACACGAAATTTACCAGTAATTTCTGGCGGAACCTGTGGCAGCAGTTCGGCACGCGACTTCAATTTAGTTCATCCTATCACCCCGAAACCGACGGACAGACGGAACGGACAAACTAGACCATGGAGCAGCTGATTCGAGCCACGTGCGACGATCCAAACACGTAGGAGCAGCAGCTGCCTCTCATCGAGTTCGCATACAACAATGCGCCATCTGCCACGACCCAACAGTCGCCATTTTACTTGAATTACGGACAGGACCCAACAGTACCCATGACACCAAATCCAGACAATCCCGTTCCACACGCACAACAGTTCGCCGAGATTCTGCAAGCAGCACGGACCAGGGTAGCAGAAGCAATAAAAAAATCAAATATCATCGCTAAACGCAACGCCGATCGCCACCGCAGACCCGTCACTTATCAGCCCGACGACCTCGTTTTACTCGACACTCAGAACCTCCGCCTGCCCATCACTCCCAAACTCCGCCCTCGATACTGTGGGCCATTTCGAACCAGTCACATGATCACGCCTGTCACCGCGCACCTCCTCCTTCCTGCTGACTGGTACGTCAGCCCCTCGTTCCACGTCAGCCTGCTTCGCCCTTACGTACCATCCACCAGCCAACTCCCACGACATCGACCTTCCAGCATGACACGACCACCAACCGAACCAGTCATCACCCCCGACAAAATCTTGAGCCACAGAGTTCGCGACCCTCGAGGAGCCCGAAAAGTTGAGTTTCGGATCCGCTGGAAAGATCGTACACCCACCAAGGACAACTGGGTTCCCCTGGACAAAGTTGAAAACCACCCTGTAGTCACGGACTACCTGCGCAGCCGAAACTTCAAAGAAGTCCACGCGCTTGCGTAAGGAGGACCTCCTTAGGAGGGGGGGTTGTGTAAGGAAATTCCCTTTTCCTTACTTCGCGTCCCTGCTCAACGCGTACATCACTGTAGCCTCCCAGTCAGCACCGTTACCACTCGCGATCATCGCATCATTCAACATCCCGCCATTTTCGCACATCGCATCCCGACCTTACGGCTCGGCTGGTAACCCGCGCTCCGGGCCTAGGCTTCGACATTTTCCCAACCTTAGTCCCAGGCTCGTCGCGCGACTATTACCGTTACCATTGTAGTTTCGCTATATATTTTTCGCTAATGCCTTCGCTCATTGTACTCTTGCTTCGATAGTGCAATTCTCGTTCGTTCACTCAATTGCACTCGTAACAGAATGCAAGAAAGGATGGGCAGGAGGGATAGGGAAGGAAGGGTAGGGCAGGAAGGGAGGTATAGGATGGAAATTATGGGACATGGGATGGGAGATAAAATAGGAAGGGATGAGACTTGGGAAAGAAGGGAATGGAGGTCAGAAGGGAGGAGAGATGGGAAGGAAGGGAAAGAGGATGAGTATGCATGTTTCGGTGATTGAAGAGGATTCGAGGCCGCAAGGGGAGGCGTGGTCTCGAATCAGGTCGAACTGAGGCCGCGATGTCAATGAAGGCACAGCTTGAATTTAAGGGCATTTGAGGTGATGAGGGGAGTGGAATTTCAGATGCAACCTGCGACATTGTAGTTTATGGGCTACAAAGTTATGGTTATACAAGCAATCACAACATCTCATACAAAATATAGCTTTTACAAATACAAAACAAGTGTAACGCCAGAATGCTGCAGCCGAGCCAATTATGAGTTGGGACTCTATTAGCCCATTTCGGATATGTATGACTTACTGGAGGGCCCACAGGACCATACTGGAGGGCCCCGAAACATAAGGAGGACAAGTCCCTTGGAATCAGCAACTGAACATGGGCAGAATATTGGGGAAGCCTTTGACGAACCCGCCACCAACGAGGCCACCGGATTTCCTGGTCGACTTGGTGAGAACAGCGGTGTGGTAATCCGACACGACACCCTTATCCACGGCCTGCAGCACCTCCAGGATGGTCCCGCTGCCGCCACGTGGCTTGATCTTCTCAATGGCCGTCAGCTTGAAGTCGAGCTTGTATGAGCCGCCGCCGCCGCTCCACGGCTTGTTGATGTACCACGAGACGCCCGTGTTGCTGCCGAACTTGCCCTTTCCAATCACGATCCCCACCGGGGGTTCGGGTAACTCGCTGACCTCCGCAGTCACCTGCAGGTCGAACGACTCGTCGTCGCTGCCCCTGCGATCGAGAAACGCACGGGAGAGAGGCACGTGAAAGTTAGGGAAAGGCGGGGATGCGAGCTGGGAAGCAAGGCGGCGGAGTGGTGGCGGAAGGGCGTGGTGGAATGGTGCGGAGAGGGGAACGGCAAGCGGAATGGCGCAGGCAAAATGACACAGCGAAGCAGGGTAGCGAAATGGCGTAGCGAAAAAGGACACAGCGAAAAAGCGAAGCGAAATGGCGCAGCCAAATGACAGAGCGAAGAAGCGTAGGCGTACTTGTACTCCTTGATGGTGAGTCTGCCAGTGGGCAGCGACTTGGAGGACTTGCCGCCCTTCTTCGACTGCGTCTGCTGCTTGTCCGTCAAGTCCCAATTCGAGTACAGCACGCCTGTGAGAGCGTGTGACAACGTACGACGAACCATGGAAAGGCGCATTGATCAGTACAACGGGTTGCGAGCGGAAGGCAGCACGTAGTGACAGGGAGCGAGTTTGGAGCACGACGAGGGCGGGAAGAGTGCGGAAGAATGGCGGGAGGAGGGCGGAGATGGTTGAGCGGCGCACTCACATTTCGGTCGGGCGGCGAGAGTGAGGAGCGCGGACGCAAAGAGCAGCCCGAGGACGAGCGCGCCTGTAAGGGGGATGGGGGCGCCGAGGGGCGCACAGCGATGAGTATGGGCAGTGACGGCACTTATGCGAGCCGCAGAGAGCGGAGGAGCGAGAGTAAGGGCATCTCAGGTTACAGGCTGGAACATTTTGGTGACAGAGCTAGGGCATTGCTGTTGTCAGTGTGACTGCCGAGGATTCAGAATGATTTTGATGGGGAATTTTGTTGACGACCGCAAAGACTGACGAGATCGAGATGCACGAAGGTTGAAAATGAGAGCACTTTGAGTCAAATTGAAATAGCGATAATTTTTTTGGAGTGAGCAATCCACTCACCTTTTGGAGAAACTAGAGGAGCCATGGTGACTATGCAACGTAGGCCACGAGTATGAAACTCTTGGTGACGTTTGTAGACGAGTGACAATTGGATGGCTAAGAAGCGATGGTAGAAAATATATTTGATCCTCAGATATGGAGAGTTTTTATACCGTCTTCTGCCCCTCGAGTCTCCGGGGCCTGCTCACGACACGACACGAAGCGCCTGCTCAAGGTGGGTAGCTTGTAAAAGCTGGGGCCGCGACGAGGGCCGTGGAGGAGAGTGGAGGCACTGGTGAAGTTGGTCGCTAGAGTGGGGATGGTGGACGGAGGGCGAAGTCGGGACGCGGTGGGGATGGGGTTGAAGGTGGGGGTGTGGGCAGCGTGGTATTGTGCCCTCGCCCGCTCTTCCGATCTTCGTGCGAGCCTGATTTTTTCTGGCACGAACATCGCGGCATTGGGATGGGAGGGGCAGAAGCAGAATTGCCTGTGACTCGCTGGGGGATGTTCGTGCGCGACGTGGAAAATTTCCGAAGCGCGTCGAAGGAGGAGGAGGTTTCAAGGCACCAGTGGTTGATGCTCTGACGCGTCGCACTCGCTGACGACGCCCACGCAGGGATGTTCGCAGAGAGTTGCAGTACAGGCGAAATACTGCGATTAGGCAGCAGCCGTCGTTCACATGGTCAGCGAAAGAAACTCCAGGACTGTTCGTGCTCTGCCACTTACCCAGTCGTGAGGGTTACCTGGTTCTCAGCAGTATTTGCATTTATTGAAGTCAAGAATCAACCCTCCAAACCCATACCCACACGAGTTCGTAACTTGCAAGAAGAGTGCACTTATGCGATATGAGGACTAACTTACAGGGTAACGTAAAAACAAAACAATTACAGTCATTTTACTGACCAGTTAGCCTAGATATCTCAGATGTATGACCAGATGTCTATGCCAACCAAGAGGTTGCCATGCCAAGCATGCACAGCTCTGTGCCTCTGGTAACACACCAGAATGACTGGCAGAGACATGGTAGGAGCAGGTAGGAAGAAGAATGCATGATAAGAATTAGACCCCAGCAAAAACGAATCAGCCTGTCCTTTCCAGCCAGAATGGGGCACAACAACCAGTGGTAGTTTGCATCAAATCGGATACTCCTAAAAACATGGACAGTACCGGTAAAGAACATACCATACCCCTTGGCATAGACAAAACATAAAAAAACACACCCCAATCCGTCCTCCTGTCACACACTCACTCAGAAGAAATCATTGAAGGAATCATTACACAAGCTACACAGAAGCACTGTGCCGTGCGCATTCCATTACCTCCCTTGTTCTTCGTCAAGCGACCCCTCTACCCCCCTTGCCAGCTCATCGACATTCAAATCCCCCACACCCACACCGCCCTGCCCATCGCCCTCCCCTCCGCCCTCCCCTTCCCCCTCCACCTCCCCAGGCGCCACACTGAGAAACTGCTGCCAGAAGGAATCATTAAAGCCCCCCGTACCTTCCAGATCCAACCCATCCCCCTCCCCTATGCCTTCCCCTATTCCCTCCCCGCCCACTCCCTCCCCAACACCTCCTCCCCCAACCACACCTGCTTCTCCCGCCATCTCCCCTGCCCCTGCCCCCACCACGTCTCCTCGCGCTTTCCCACTCGACACTGCACCGCCTGCTGCACTGCTGCATTCCCCCGCCCCGGACGCCTCTCCTGTCGCTACCCTGCTGCCTTCCACAGCCAACCCGAGCGGCACCTTCATCTCAGCAACAGGAGCAGAAACACCCGCCCCAGACACAGCCGCAGCAGTCGCAGCAGTTGCAGCAGCAGCCGGGCCTGTGTGGGCGAGGGAGGCGGCAGAGCCTGTGGCGCTAGCGTTGGCAGCGAGGGGAGCATTGGCAGCGAGATTAGCAGCGGAAGTAGCAGTGGCACTGGCAGAGGCATGCGCAGGGGCAGAGGCGTGCAAGGGGTGGTATGGATGCAGCATGGGGGCGGTAGCAGCAGCGCCGTAAGGGGTGGGCATGCCTAAAGGGCTGATTTTTGCACCATGCACCAGCAGGCTCTGTGATAGGTCCATGCCAGGGGGAGGCGGGGGCAGCACGGGGGGGTACCCCGGGGGTGTGGGCACCATTGGCGCTGCAGCGGGGTATCCGCTTCCTGCTGCTGTCGCTGTCGCTGCTGCTGCTGCGGCGGCGGCGGCGGCGGCGGCGGCTGCAGCGGCGGCGGCGGTGGGGTGGGAAGGGGGGTAGGTCATGGGGAGGGGAGTGAACGGCATGGGAAAGGGCCGGGGAATGCCAGGGTGAGGGGTGGGAACTGGTATTGCTGGCGGCGCTGCTGCGGGTGCAGTGGCGGCGGCAGTGCTGCCCACTAGGGCAGCAGCAGTGTGCGGGTGCGGTTGCGAGTGAGCGCTGGCAGTGGGTGCTGCTGCAGCAGCTGCAGTTGATGGAGCAGACGCAGCAGAAGCGGCAGCAGCGGCAGCAGCAACAGCGGCGGCAGTTGCACCGGCAGTGGCAGCGGCGGTAGCCGCGGTAGTGGCAGGGGCAGCGGCAGCTGCGGTGGCAGCAGCGGTGGCCGCAGCAGGATAGGAAGAGCTGGGCGGAAAGACCCCCTCAGCAGGGACGTTCATTTCCGTGAGGGTTACAGTGGAAGGGCGCGGGGGGAGCGGTTGCGACGAGCCTGCGGCGGCGGCGGCAGCGGCGAGATCGTGGAGGAAAGGATCAAGCGACGCGTCGACCCCCAAGGCGCCCGCGTGCGGCATTCCCGGGTGCGTCATGCCTGGGTGGGTCATATTGGGGTGGGTCATACCCGGGAAGAACTGCTCTAGAAGGAACATGGAAGGATCGGCTGCGGCAGGGGAGAAGGCGATAATCTGACCCTCGGGGTGCAGACTGGGGGAGGAGGACCCCGACGGCGGGGAGTTTCCGCCGTCCTGCTTGGAGATCCGCCGCTTCTTGCGCCCCATGGCGGCGTGCGCGTGCGTGCGCTTGGCGTGGTCCGTCTGGTGCTGCATGAGCTGCGCGAGGAACGCGGGGTTCTGAACGGCCTTGGCGAGGAAAGTCATCATGTGCTGCTGCCGCTGCTCGTTCATCGCCACGCGCTGCTCCATCACCTGCATCGTGCTCGCCTGCTGCTGCTGCTGCTGCCGCAGTCGCACGAGTTCAAGCATGAGGACATTCTTGTCGCGCTTTAATCTCTCCACCTCGCCTTCTAGGCCGAACTTGCCGACCTCGACTAGACTGGGCGACGCGGGGACGGGGAGCGCGCCGTGGAGCGGCGCGGGGGAGTGTGGGTGGCCGTGGGGGAGGGAGGAGTTCGTCGCTGCGGCTCCCGTCTGCGACGCGGGCTTGCGACGCTGGATTGTGCGAAGGAGGTGTCGCTGGCCTCGCAGGAAACCCTCGTTCGCGAACTCCCATCGGTCTGGATCCACCTTGCGAAACCCCTGGGTAACATTAACGAAGCGGGCAGTGAGGAGAATGAACAAACTTTCAGAAAAAAACTGGACGGGAATACAAGCAGGAGCAGTCTACAGGGACAAACTGCCATTGCTTTGGACCACGAATAGTAAGATGACGGGGAAGGAGCTACCCATCAAATGGAGTATATCGGGGAAAAAAAAGAAAAATCAAGTCGAATGCACGATTAGGCAAGAGAAGGTAAGCCGTACGTAGGTGTTTAATTGGCGGACGAAGCTAGAGAAGTTGTTGTGCTTAAAGTACTTGGGCAGGAGGTCTCTGGCGAACTCGGGAGGGTTCCACACGACGAAACTGTTGTTACCACTACTCCACGAAACTACGTGGTCCGTCGTCGGGTCTTCTACCATATCGTACGTCTTTATTAAAAATGGCGGCGGTTGGTTGGCCTGGTTTCCCTCCATTGCTCCATTCATCTTCTTCCCGTTACCCGGTCCTACTGAACTCTGCTGGTTGCTTGCAAACGAGCCCGCAAGCGGCGGTCTGCTAGGTTGCTGCACAGTCGTCGCGAGGCCTATCGGACCTTCCACGCTTATCGCAGACGCGACCATCGCTGAACCTCACAGCAGCTAAGCCGCGAATCGTGACAATAAGAAGGAAAAAATAGGAAAGCCGTTTTGCCAACCATGGCCTCATAGAAAAGCAACACAGTTCCGCAGCTTGAAGGGAGGGAGGCGGTGAGCGTTCAGCGCTGCAGACATCCCAGGACCGTGTCACAGGACCAGCGTTGCCTTGACAGTAGGTCAATGTAACCTTCTCCAACCCAGAACTAAATCAACATGAGCCACAGAATGCAGAGCGTACTCAACAGAAAGACAGTGGGTGGATGCTGTGGAAAAGGCCAGCGAGATACAATCCATGGCGGCAGGCTGCTGCATCAAACCCTAATCTCGTCACCTTGAGGGAAGAATCCATGTCGGACCTACTGGCCCGCTCCGTCGCTGTCCCTGCTGACAAACTCAGACAGGCTTGGGAGCCCTTATGCTTTGTGGAGGTTCGACAAGCCGCTGCTACGGAGGGCCAGAAAAGCCAGTGGCGGGTGGAGGTTTTGGAGTTTCCGAAGCAACGATTCTGGTCTTCACAGCCTTGGTAGGTTCGCCAAGGGTGACCGAAACTGCCAGATTGTGAAACGAGCCTACGAGAGCCACAAACTGGAGACGAGCAAAGTCTGGTACGAATACGGACAGTGATTGGTTGACGTAGAAAAGCTAGGGATATGCTTTTGCCTTTTTCGCGAAAATGCGTGAAGGCTGGATTTCGCTCGCACAAGAACCCCACGCATGTCCTCGCCAGTGAGGTCTAGCATAGAAGACAGAAGTACGTTTTCAAGACGTTTTCTAAGTCAAGGAATTCAGGTTAGGTGCAAGATCCAGGAACCCTGACTCAAACCATGGAGGTGAGAAGAAAAGTTGCACATCAAAGCCAACCAACTGTGTCCATATAATCATAGCATACTAAATCTCAGCTAGCTACATGCCACGGTCAGTAATAAGGGGGTGATTCATGAGGTGCTCTAAGCCACCGTACTGCAACATATCAAGCTTACAGGAAGATGCTACACCATGTTCAACCTCCATTCAGCAAGGAGGGCAGGAGAGGGTACCAACGAGATGGTAATGGTAAGACAACTTATCCAATAACACAAATGTACAATAGTGCCAAGGATCTGATCTGCTCTGTACAGAACCGGATCCCATGCGATATAAAAACAAGCCCTGCTCAGCATTGCGGGATGAAGCAGAGCGATCTCCATATGCCATACGCATCCACTCGTCCACCCCCATTCTGTTCCTTCCTGATTCAGCCTTGCTTGCCTTCCATCGTGCTCCACCTCCCACTACTGACCCGCCTGCAAGTGACACGCACAATGTCATGCCACACCATGGCATGCCACGCACAATATCATGCCACACCATTGCATGCCACACCATCGCATGCCATACCATGTCATGCCACACCATGGCATGCCACACCATGGCATGCCACACCATGTCATGCCACAACCAGCACTCAAAGCCATGACTCTCACACCATTGCATGCCACAAAATGACATACGGTACCACAGTTGGAGAAACCATGCCCGCTGAATCATGACAAACCGTATGACACCACAAATCAACTTACCACAGAACAAGAAATCACACTACAATATCATGCCAATGGCACGCCACACTACAGCATACCACACAACAGCAAACCACACTATAGAATACCACACAACAGCAAACCAAACTATAGCATACCACACTGTAGCATGCCACAATACTGCACACCACTCTATTGTATACAACACTACAGCACACCACAATATAGCATACCACACTACAGCACGCCACATAAAAAAACACCACACTATAGCATACCACACTATAGAACAGCACACCACAATATAGCACACCACACTATAGCACACCACAATATAGCACACCACAGAAAACAGCACACTGAAGCATACCACACAATAGCACAGCAAACCACACTTTAGCACACCACACTTTAGCACACCACACTATAACACACCACACTTTAACACACCACACTTTAGCACACCGCACTATAGCACGCCACACTAGCTTCAGCACCCTTCCCTTCCACCGACTGTCATGAAAGACAGGCCAATCACTCGCTCACACTCACCCACTTTGGGGGAATCAGCCCCCATCCATCTCTCCCATTCACCCTATTAGGGGTTTCGGGTTTCGGCCCCTTCTCTCCCACTCACCCACCCAAGGGGTTTCGGCCCCTTCTCTCCCACTCACTCACCCAAGGGGTTTCAGCCCCTTCTCTCCCACTCGCCCTCCCAAGGGGTTTCAGCCCCTCCTCACCTTCACTTGCCAGCAGTAGGAGCAGCAGAAAGCCCACTTTCTTAAGGAAACAGCACCCCCAGAGGCTGTGCTTGTCGGGCGAAGTGTGGTAGTGGAAAATTGCTTCCAGCCCAAGACTCAAATTCCACCCCTGACGTATCCAGAGCTGACGCGAACCAGAGCCGCCGGCCGGTCGGCTCTGATGGTGTCCATTAGGCCTTAACGTCAGATTGGTTACTTGAGCACCGAGTGCCGTGCCGCGCAGATTCCACCCACCACACCCCACCACCACAAAGCACAACCCCAGGAGATGCTGCCCCTAAGGCAGTGAACTCCCCGCTTGCTCCCATGCTCCCCACCCACCCACCCCACACTTCACCCCATGCCTACTCACCTGTACCTACCACAGCCGTGCAGAGCGCCATGATGCTGAGGCTGCTGGGAAGTGGAGAGAGAAGGGGGGATTAGGGGAGGGAGAGACTCCTCAGTGGTCCAGGCAGGGTGCTGCTGGGAGGGAAGGGAGAAGGGAGAGAGGAGGAGGTGAGTGAGGGGGTGGACTCCACTCCAGTGCTCCCACCTTCAGCCTGCAGGAGTTAAAGGGAGGGAGAGAGAGAGGGGAGGGAATCAGATCACCACACCTCACCTGGTACCTTACTAAACCTTTTACCACACCTCGCTCACACCACGCCTAGCCTAGTCTCCTGCCCAGCCCCCCACCCCCCCACTGCTGCTGCGCTGCTGCTTCTGCTGCTGCAACTGCTGCTGTCGGTCTGCTACTCTGCTTCCTCTGCTGCACTCTTCTCTCGATGCCAAATGACCTGGTGGCGGGCAGATAGGGGGGGAGGGGGGCAGGAGAGAAAGGGCAGAAGGTGACGTGAACAGAAACACTAAAGTCAACACAGAAACGCATAAGCTGACAAAGACAACAAGGGCTAAATGCAGAGAGAACCAAAGCAACAAATGCACTCTAAGGAGGGAGGTAACGCACCTTGAGAGGCCAGCCCACCCCAATACTCTCCCTTGTGGCACCAACTGCAAGCTGCTGCAGTGCTGCCGCCCTCCCATCCCATCCCCGTGGGTTACCTGCACCTGAGAGGGTTACCTGCACCTGAGAGGGTTACCTGCACCTGAGAGGGTTACCTGCACCTGAGAGGGTTACCTGCACCTGAGAGGGTTACCTGCACCTGAGAGGGTTACCTGCACCTGAGAGGGTTACCTGCACCTGAGGGGCTTACCTGAAGAGTGGGGGTCTGTAGCATGTGAACCGGGCCCAAGCAGTGGCGAGTATTCAGGGATAAAACACACAAGCCCATGCGAAAACGACATGAGTAATTCAGCATGAGCAGTGAGCAGCAGGCAAGAGTGAGTCCAGGGAGGCGAAAGCACTTAGCTGGCAGCTGAAGAGCCGCCTCCCTGGAGATGCCGCCTTCCCCCTCCCTCCCCTCCCCTGCTGCACCAGTGCTCCCTGCTGCTGATGCTGCCACAACTGGTCCCGTCAGATGCCTCTGCTGCATTGCCAGCGACCTGGAGGGGGGCAGAACGGAAGGGAAGGCCAGGAGGGTAGTGAGTGCAGGCCTTGAAACAGGCAAGGGCGAATCAAAGGGATGAGCGCAAGAGGGCAACTTAGCAGAAAACGAGTGCAGCGGCAAAGAGAGGTACGAGACTTACCTTGAGAGGCCAAGCCCATCCCAATACTCTCCCTTGCTGCAGTGGGATTGCCATGCTGCAGTGCTGCCTCCCTCCCGTCCCCACGAGTCCCTGCACGGCCACAGGGGAGGGGCGTGGGGAAGCGTCGGTGTTGACCCCAACGCCCCTCCCCTCCACCTGCAATGCACACACACGGCAGTGGTCAGTATGCATGGCATGGGCGCAACACAAGCCAGAGAGTGGAAACTGCCAAATGTGGAAGAGAAAGGGAGGGCCACTGGTTGAGGCAAGGCCACACGCCACAGACGCCAAGGGAACCTGCACCTGACGGGGGGACTTGCACCTGAGGGGGGGACCTGCACCTGAGAGGGTTACCTGCACTGCACCTGAGGAGATACCTGAAGTGCGGGGGTCTGTGGCATGTGAACCGCGCTGGACCAGTGGCATTGCTTCAAAGGGAAGAGCATACAACCAGCAAACGAAATGACATGCAAAGAAGGTGAGGGCATGGAGGAGGGTGACTTAGCTGGTGGCGTGAGGGCGAGCTCAAGGCAGCTGCAGCACCACCAGCTGCCTCCCTCCACGGCAGCCCTCCTCCCAGCCTTCCCGTGTGCGCCCCTGCACGGCCACAGGGGAGGGGCGTGAGGGAGCATCGGTGTTGACCCCACACCCCTCCCCGCCACATGCAATGGGCACACACAGAGCTAGTCAGAGCGCAGTGGTGGGAGCAAGTTGAATGGGATAATGTGACTTGAAATGCAGCGCAAGGGACGGGAGGAGGAGCCACTGGTGGGGGCACGGCCACAAGCTGCAGACCCAAGGGCACCTGAAATAGAACCTGAGGGGTATACCTGCACCTTAGAGGGTTACCTGCACCTGAGAGGGTTACCTGAAGGAGGGGTCTGTGGCATGTGAACCGCTCAACCAATGGCAGTGTTTCGAAGGGAAGGGCGAAAGCACAACCGGCAAACGAACTGGCAGCAAAGAAGCAACAAGGCATGATGTGGCGGGCAAGGGTGAGGGCATGGAAGTGGGTGACTTAGCTGATAGCGTGAGGGCGAGCTCAAGGCAGCTGCAGCAACACCAGCTGCCTCCCTCCGCAGCAGCCCTCCTCCAGGTGCCTCCTCCCTGCACGGCCACAGGGGAGGGGCGTGAGGGAGTTTCGGTGTTGACCCCACACCCCTCCCCGCCACCTGCAACGCGCACACACAGAGCTAGTCAGAGCGCGGTGGTGGGAGCAAGTTGAATGGGATAATGTGACTCGAAATGCAGCGCAAGGGACGGGAGGAAGAACCACTGGTGGAGGCACGGCCACAAGCTGCAGACCCAAGGGCACCTGAAAAAATACCTGACGGGTGTACCTGCACCTGAGGGAATTACCTGAAGCAAGGGGGTCTGTAGCATGTGAGCAGTACTCAACCAGTGGCGTTGTTTCAAGAAGACAGTGCAACAGCAGATGAAACGAAACAAATGGTATGGCAGGCAAGGGCGCGGGCATGGAGGAACAGTACTTAGCTGATTGTGTGGTGCAGGCGGAGGGGGTGCTTCAATGGAGAGTGGGCAGGGCGAGCGTGGCTTGAAGGGACGGACCTGCGAGGCAGAGGCGGGAGAGAGAGAGAGAGATAGAGAGATAGTAAGGGGCAGGTGGGAGGGAGTGACTCTTTCAAACGAGAAGACAGGCAGCAGTGTGAGTGCAAAAAAGACAGTGCATGTGATGCTAACCACAACCCCACAAGAGCCGCTACCAACCTGAACCTGAACATGCACCTGAACCTGAACCTGAGGGGGAGTGGGCTCGAGTGGAGTGTGGTGGCAGGGGCGATACTGCAACCTCAACCGTTGATGAGGCCGGCGCAGCTGCCCCGCTGCCTGCGCTCCTGCTGCCCGCCCTGGTGCTCCCCTCGCCTGCTGCTCGCCTGCTGCAACCCCCCTGGCTTGTGAGGGCCTGGCAGGGAGGGATGGGAGGGCAGGGAGGGGAGGGAGGGCATGGGGGAAAGGAAAGGCAGCCGAAAGTAAGAGGGTGCAACAGCAGATGAAACGAAACAAGTCAGCATGGGGAGAAGAGCAAGCAGCAGCATGAGAGCACGAGGGAAAAGAGGCTCACCTTGTTCCAGACGACCCCATCCCGATACTCTCCCATCCCATCCCAGCCGAGTGGAGTGCTGCCCCCCTCCCCTCCCACCACTGCCACTCCCGTGTGAGCGACCTGCTGGGACGGGAGGGGGCGGGTTGGGACAGAGAGAGGAAGGGAGGAGGGGGGGAGGAAAACGGGGGAGTGAAGGGGGGCAGAGGAGAGAGCAGTGAGGAAAGAAGCCAAGACAAGTGAAAGCGAAGAGTGCAGCAAGCGCAAGCATGATGTGTGCATGAATGGACTGCTGCAGTGGTACACCCAAGAGACCTCGTACCAGCTGAACCAAACTATAACAAATACCTGAGGCTGTACCAAGAAAAAAAAACTACTACCTTGGGGGAGGGAGGTCTAATGGGTGTGACAAAGAGCAGTGAAAAAGGGAGTGCAATGCATGGTGCAAGCATGACAAGCAAAGCAACACGGTGCGAGGGTTGGGAGAAGAGAGGAAGGGCGGGGTACTTAGCTGTAGGTGGGTTGGGTGGAGAGCAGTTGCTGCCTGTGCACTCCATCTCAGCCGCCACTCCCACTGCCGTGTGATTGACCTGCTGGGAGGAGGGGGTACATTTTGGGACAGAGAAAGGAAGGGAGGAGGGGGAGGAGAGGACAGGGTATGAAGGGGAAGCGGAGGAGTGGGGAGTGTGGTGAGTAAATCAAGAGCAAAGAGTGCGGCAAGTGTAACAATGATGTGTGTATGAATGGGCTGCTGCAGTGGCACACCCAAGAGACCTCGTACCATCTGAACCTGACTATACCTAATACCTGAACCTGCTACCTTGAGGGAGGGAGGTCTCTTGAGTGTGACAGAGGGCAGTATTTAAGCGAGTTTGATGCATGGTGCAAATGCAAACAAGACATGAAAGCAACACAAGTGCGAGGGTTGCGAGAAGAGAGGCAGCGAGGGTACTTAGCTGTGGGGTGTTGGGTGGAGAGCAGCTGTTGCTCCCCATGCAGCACTGCGCCGCGTTGCTTCTCCGCGGTTTCGCCTCAACGGTGCAGCGCGTTACGATTAGATTCTGCACATCCAGACGCGAGATATGAATCAGAGAAGTAATTCGACTATGAAGGTTCCTAGAAGCAGTTTGCGCGGTTAATCTGAACATTCGGACAATAGCAGCGTACCTCATGCAGGGAAATCGCGGTTCGAGGCTGAAACAACCGTCCATGCAGCAATCCGCATCGGGTGGACGAGGATATCGCGCGTCGCGAGCTTCGAACTTGGATGCGGTAATTAGCCGAGATCGTGGAGGTCGCAGCAGGGGGGTCGATGTCTGGTTAAGGTTGAAGCTTTCGAAAGCGTTGCTGCTGCTGACGGCGGAAACTGCTGACGGACGGCCGAAACTGCTGATAGCGTGCGGACATCTCTTCTAACTTCGAAGATCGTTACTGCTGACGGCGGAAATTGCTGACGGCGGGAAATTGCTGATGGACGGCCGAAACTGTAGAAAACGTCCGGACATCCCTTCTGACCACGAAAATCGTTTCTGCTGACAGAGGAATCGTTGCTTCTGACAGAGAAATTTGCGATGCCGGAGGACAATGCTTCCGACCGAAATTTCCGCTGACGGCTGGTCTGATTGTTGCCGACGTTGAAACACGAAGCTGCTGACGACGACAGTCGTTTCTGCTTGCGAAAACTGCTTTCGACGATGACATCGAAGCAAACGGAGAAAAGCGTTGCCGCTGACGGAGATAACGGTTCTGTTAACTAAGGAGATCGTTGCTGACGATGGAGTCCGTTTCCAGCGTCGAAACTCGTCCGTGATGGTTGCAAGCGGCTCCACAGTCTCTGTTGATGACGCATAGAGTTGGCTAGGAAAACGCCGGATTATTCTGCGTGGACGCTATGAATGATTTTCCACATAATGCCGGTAATGTGAGAGGAGAACAGAGGTGAAGCGGCGAAAACGGAGAACACGAAAAGGCTCTGGTGGAGAAAACGAGAATTGAGGCAACAGATTGCACTTGGCTCTGCTCTCTGCAGCACCCGCTGCTGCTTGCGTCCCGCGAAGGTCAAGTTTTAAAAACTTGACGAAGTTGAGTGTCCAAGCTTTTGAAAGTCACGCACCTGCAATTTGGGACTTTCGAAGACAGATTCACTCACCAGGGGGAAAACTGAGGATTGGCTGGGTCTCGCGAAAAAAACGAGCCTAGACGAAATTGCGAACTCTCGCCAAAGCCTACACCAGAAAACTCCCTCTGGTCAACTTTTAAAGCCCAAGGTCAGCATGGTTTTTGCAACAGTGACGCGGGGGCTTTAAGTGTGTTCGCGAAAGGCATAAAAAAAACATTTCGAGAGCTGAACAGGTGCGAAAGCGAAACCAGGCAGCGACGAGCTTCAGCATTCGTCACCCAACTGTGCGACACTGCACCACGAGTTTGGTGCTTGGAGGGGGTTAGAAAGTGAAGCCATGTGTGTAGATTGGTTTGAAAATGCACGCTACTCGTGGCCGTCGCCTATGTTCACTCCCCTCCGTCGCCCACGCGACCATTTTCTCGTCAATGTCTCACACTTCCCTCCATCGCCATAGCTCACTCCCTCTCATCGCCCTCGCGCACTCCCCTCCCGTCGCCTTCGCGCACTTCCCTCCCGTCGCCTTCGCGCACACCCGTCCCGTCGCCTTCGCGCACTCCCCTCCCATCGCCTTCGCGCACTCCCCTCCCGTCGCCTTCGCGCACTCCCCTCCAAAGAGGATGATCACTCCCCCCCGTCGCCCACGCTTCCTTCCTGACGCACGATCACGCTCCCTCCCCTCCCGTCGCCTTTGCGCGACGCCTCTTTCGCCCCTCCTCACTCTCTTCCGTCGCCCACGCTCACTCCCCTCCCGTCGCCCACGCTCACTCCCCTCCCATCGCTCATGCTCACTCCCCTTGCGTCATGTACGCGCACACCCATCCGTCACTACTACCGCTCCCTCCCTCCCGCCGCCCACGCTCCCTCCCCTCTAACGAGAATGGGGACTCCCCGCGCCTTGCAACTCTCCTTCCTCCTGCTACGCCACACCCCACACTCTCGTCTCCCCATCCCTCATCTCCCCTTCCCTCGTCTCCCTATCCCTCATCTCCCCATCCCTCACCTCCCCATGCCTCACCTCCTCATCTCTCATCTCCCCATCCCTCATCTCCGCATCCCTCATCTCCCCATCCCGCATATCCCCATCCCTCATCTCCCCTTCCCTCACCTCCCCGTCCCTCATCTCCCAATCCCGCATCTCCCCATCCCGCATCTCCCCATCCCTCATCTCCCCATCCCTCATCTCCCCATCCCTCACCTCCCCATCTCTCACCTCCCCATCCCTCATCTCCCCATCCCTCACCTCCCCATCTCTCACCTCCCCATCCCTCACCTCCCCATCTCTCACCTCCCCATCCCTCACCTCCCCATCCCTCATCTCCCCATGCCTCACCTCTCCATCGCTCATCCATCCATTCCTCATCTCCCCATGCCTCACCCCATCTCCGCCGCACCCCGTGGCATCGTCACACGTCGCCACTTCCCACCTCTTCCTACTTCCCATCCCCCTCTTCCGCCCTTCCTCCCCCCTTCTCTCAATCCCTTCCTCTCGCCCTGCCATCCTACTTCCCATCCCCCTTTCCTCGTTTCCCCAGACCTCCTTTCCCCATCCCGTCATTCACTCTCCCTCCGTTCCCCATCCTTCCATTCCCCATGCCTACTTTCACCATTCCACCATACCCCATTCACCATACTCCTAACCCCATCTCCTCCTCACCCCATCTCCTCCTATACACATCCGCTTCTTTCCCCTTCCCTCGTCACCGAGTCCCCTCCTCTCCCCATCCCCTCCTCTCACCATCCCCTCTTCTCCCCACCCCCTCCCGTCCTCTCCCCATCCGCCCATCCCACCTCACCACTTCCCTCCTCTTCCCATCCATCCTCTCCTCATCCCTCCCCATCCGTCCTTTCCCCATCCGATCCTCTCACCCTCCCCTCCAGGTGTTTCCCACACCGCCCTCGGCCCAGCGGCACCTCTTCATCCCTTGTGCTTTTCTGCACCAGGGAGCTGCTTGGGGCGCTGTGGGTGGATGGCGGTGGGCAGAGTCACACAGCATAGGCAGACGTGGTGCTGCCTGTCCTCCCTTTCTCCCGTCCTCCCTCCCCATCCATCCTTCCCTTCCTCTGTTCCTCTCTTCCTCCATACGTCCCTTCCTCCGTTTCTCTGTCCCTCTTTTCCCCTGGTCGTCCTTCTGTTTGTCTCCTACCGTTCCAGGAGTGTCTTTTTATTTCTTCCTCTTCGTGTTGCTTCCTTGTCAGTTGTCATTCTTTTGTATGCTTACCGGCAGGAATGTTGGTTGTTTGATAGTACCCCTAGGTATGATACATGGCTGTGGGAATGTTGTATGCTTATTATGATAACTAAATTTTGATACATGGAGTAGAGTGACCATTGACCACCTACGAAGTGCAACAATCTAGTAAAAAAAGAACCAAGTTACTCAATACGGTAATACTATGTCTTTTCCCGCTCTTGTCTGCAAGTTGACTTTTGAGTCAACTCAAACGTCAACTTGCATACACAGCAGCAAAAAAGCAGGACTTGTGGGTCCCTCCCTACACCTGGTGCTGGGGACCTGTACAGAATGAGCAGGAAAAAACAGAGTGCAGGGGAGACATTGAGCAGGGGGGAAAGAGAGTGAGGAGGGGGGGAGAGAGTGAGAAGGGGGGAAAGGGAGTGAGTAGGGGGAAAGAGGGTGGGCATGGGGGAAGGGAGTGAACAGGGGGGGAACAGAATGAGCAGGGGGAAACAGAATGAGCAAGGGGAAAGAGAATGAGCAGCGGGGAAGAGAATGAGCAACGGGGAAAGAGAGTGAGCAGGGGGAAAGAGAATGAGCAATGGGAAAACCGAGTGAGCAAGGGGGAAACGGAGTGAGGAGGTGAGAAGAGAGAGAGCAAGGGGGGAGAGAGCAGGGGGGAATAGAGCAGGGGGGAATAGAGGAGGGGGGAATAGAGCAGGGGGGAACAGAGCAGGGGGGAATAGAGCAGGGGGGAATAGAGCAGGGGGGAATAGAGGAGGGGGGAATAGAGGAGGGGGGAATAGAGCAGGGGGGTATTGAGCAGGGGGGAACAGAGCAGGGGGGAATAGAGCAGGGGTGAATACAGCAGGGGGGAACAGAGCAGGGGGGTATTGAGCAGGGGGGAATAGAGCAGGGGGGAACAGAGCAGGGGGGAATAGAGCAGGGGGGAATATAGCAGGGGGGAAAAGAGCAGGGGGGTATTGAGCAGGGGGGAACAGAGCAGGGGGGAATAGAGCAGGGGGGAATATAGCAGGGGGGAACAGAGCAGGGGGGAATAGAGCAGGGGGGAATATAGCAGGGGGGAATAGAGCAAGGGGGAATAGAGCAGGGGGGGATATAGCAGGGGGGAATAGAGCAGGGGGGGAATAGAGCAGGGGGGAATAGAGCAGGGGGGAATAGAGGAGGGGGGAATAGAGCGGGGGGGAATAGAGCAGGGGGGAACAGAACAGGGGGGATTAGAGTGAGGAGGAGAGAGTGAGCAGGGTGGAACAGAGCAGGGGGAATAGAGCAGGGGGGAATAGAGTGAGGAGGAGAGAGTGAGCAGGGGGAAACAGAGTGAGGAAGGGGGGGCAGAGTGAGAAAGGGGGAAGAGAGTGAGCAGAGGGAAAGAGAGTGAGCAGGGGGAATGCGAGTGAGCAGGGGGAAAGCGAGGTCGACGGGAGGGGGAGAGCGAGGGCGACGGGAGGGGGAAAGCGATGGAAACGGGAGGGGGAAAAGCACGGAAGGGGATGGGGGGAAGCAGGGAGGGGGATGGGGGAAAGCACGGAAGGGGACATGGGGAGCAGGGAAGGGGATGGGGGCAAGCAGGGAAGGGAACATGGGGAAGCAGGGAAGGGGGTGGGGGGAAGCAGGGAAGGGGATGGGGGAAAGCAGGGAGGGGGATGGGGGGAAGCAAGGAAGGGGATGGGGAGAAGCAGGGAACGGGATGGGGGGAAGCAGGGAGGGGGATGGGGGGGAAGCAGGGAAGGGGATGGGGGGGAACAGGGAAGGGGATGGGGGGAAGCAGGGAGGGGTATGGGGGGAAGCAGAGAGGGGGATGGGGGGAAGCAGGGAGGGGGATGGGGGGAAGCAGAGAGGGGGATGGGGGGAAGCAGGGAGGGGTATGGGGGGAAGCAGGGACGGAGATGGGGGGAAGCAGGGAAGGGGATGGGGGGAAGCAGGGAAGGGGATGGGGGGAAGCAGGGCTGGGGATACGGGGAAATAATGAAGAGGATGGGGGGAAGCAGGGCAGGGGATGGGGGGAAGCAGGGAAGGGGTATAAGTTGGGGGAAGGAAGGCGATTATTGGAGGGAGGGAAAAGAGGGAGTAGGGAGAGAAAAGGGAGGGTGACAAGTGTGCGAGATGGGAAGGGAGACGGGAGGGAAGGCGAGGGCGACGGGGAGTGGATGGCAGGGCGACGGGGAAAGCGAGGGCGACGGGAAGGGAGGGCGACGGGAAGGGAGGGCGACGGGAAGGGAGGGCGACGGGAAGGGAGGGCGACGGGAAGGGAGGGCGACGGGAAGGGAGGTCGACGGGAAGAAGCGCGGGCGACGGGAAGGGAAGGCGACGGGAAGGGAGGGCGACGGGAAGAAGCGCGGGCGACGGGAAGGGAGGGCGACGGGAAGGGAGGGCGACGGGAACAAGGGTGGGCGACGGACGGAAGGCAGGGCGACGAGGGGGAAAGAAGGGCGACGGGCGGAAGGGAGAGCGACGGCGGAAGGGAGAGCAACAGTCGGAAGGGATATACTTGACCCTCGACCGTGCGACCGTCTAGATGCGCAACCCGGGTTAGACGCCGGGGGGGTTGATGGAATTGTGACGTGCAGGCACGTGTTGGCGTCGCGCGAGTAACTATATCCGGTTGGGTGCGCACCGCACACGCATGTGAGCTCTCTAGTTATTGTAAAAATGGGACATCTCCGACTGGTTTTATGATTGGCTGTTCGTATTTGTCACCAAATAGGCTGCTGTACTGATACAGCTGCTACGAAGAAAAGGAGTGATACGGAGAAAGCTTGGGCGTGAAAAACGGGTGAACTAAGTAAACGTAGGCTGTCAATATGCCTGCCATTTAGTGGTACATGGTTTTCAAGTTTACTGAAAGTGAACAGTGCTCCATTGCCCTCCGACCCTTTTACTCGGAATGACTGGTTTTGTCGCTGGCCAATCGTGGAACAACGTCGCAAAACCTCCCCTCTGGATCGCGACGAAAATCCTCCACTTCGGGTGGTAACATGGTTTTTTGCAAATTCATATTCAGGAATCTTGAACTTGAAAATTGCCATGTAGAACTCGGGCTTTAAAAGCATGAACAACTTGGGCCGCCGGCTTTAAGGGTTCGGATTGGTGAAATTGTTTTCAGGAAGTTTGGTTGTGTCTGGTTTGTCCTGTCCTTCGCAGGGAGGGTTCAGCCCAGCAAAACCCAGAAAGGTCAGCCAATCTAGAGGTTGGTGTCGCGGCGGAAAAGGTGCTCCCACTGACATGCTTGATGCATCGTGCTTGGCCGCAAAAGCGCGCGAAGTAGAGGCGGAAAGATGGTTTGCGGGAAGGATAATGAACCATTTTAGCAGAGTGAATCTGGTTTGCGAAACATCTTTTATCGCAATAGTGGGAATTCGAGCAGATTACTGGGACATTGCAATATATCGCGAAATTCGAGATTGTCGCAAACGCGCTGGAGGGCAACGGTTGGGGCTGGGAAATCCGCGCCTGGCGGAAGCGCTCCACCAAATTGGCTGACAAATCGGTGGAACTTCCGCCAAATGGGGATTTCTGCGGAGCATTTCCCCAGGTTCCGAATCCCAGCCAACGGATAGGCAGACGGATATGCAGGTTTGGTGATTTTGCGGGAACCCCACGGGCGTTGATGCGTGCGACTAGCTCCTCAACGACAGCGGCGCTGACGGAGGTCACCGCTGATGGCGCGTTAGTCGTTGCTGGTGGTGGGCCCGGTGAGTCTGCAGTGGCTTTTCCTTCAAGAGCCATAGTATTGCAGACTTTGAGGTGTAATAAATAACTTTATAAAGGGATTGTTCTGAGAAGAACGAGGACTTGACAGATCCTATAATCCACTCTAGCTCTCATACCATGCCGATATAACCAAGGATCCAGTAGATAGGATAGAATCTGTTAAGTCTGAGAGGAGACAATGAAGTCTCTGTAGTGACCTTGTTGAATAATAATTGAAAGAGAACAAGATGATTGAAAGATAGGAATACAAGAGATTAAATAGAAATCTAGCTAGCCATGTACTCTGAGGGGTACATTCCCTCATTAACTGTATTGCATAGCTATAGTAACCGTGACTATTGCTATCCTCGACAGTTACCATGTTGCAGTGAATTAACTGTTGTGCGGTTACTGGATCCTCAAGGGTCACGACCGTTGACTTCCTCAGACGGTTGACCTTCGGGTGACCCTCGACATTCCGCATGCTCTATATGAGCTATTGCGGTACTGGTACAGTGGAACAGCTCCGGGAATGCTTTATATAACCTTTCGGTTATTCCAACACTCCCCTTAATTCCTGAAGGTGGGCCACGTGGGATTTCTTGGTGATCCCGCAGAAGTCGGCGCAGCGTTGGTACTGCTGACGTGACAACTTCTTCGTCAAGAAATCAGCTGCCATGTCACCGGTCGGGCAGTACGTCAGCTTGACGTTCCCTTTGTCGATTTCATCCTTCACGAAGAAGTAGCGAAGGGCGATGTGCTTGGTGCGGTTGACGAAGTCGGGCTTGTTCGCGATCTTTATCGCGCTCTGATTGTCGCAGAGTAACGTGAACTGCCAGTTCATCGTCACTTTCGCTTCTTGCGGGAGCTCCACCAGGTACAGTCCTTCTCGAACAGCTGCGCTAGCTGCGATGAATTCTGCTTCTGCTGACGAGAGAGCGATAATTTCTTGCTTCTGAGAGTTCCAGGAGATGAGTCCGGCAGGTTGGAGTTGAAAAATGAATCCTGTGCGGGAGTGTCTGTTGTCAACATCTCCAGCGTGGTCGGCATCTACGTAGCCATGGAGCTGTAGAGTAGCGGTGAGGTTAGCTTCGTAGGTGAGACCGACGTCGGGAGTGGAGATGAAGTACTGTAGTGCTCGGCGTAGATCCAGTAGATTCTCCACTTCAGGTCGCTTCAGGTACTGTGCGAGATGGCTTGCGACGTAGGAGAGATCGGGCCGGCACGTGACGGCGGCGAACAGGAGACATCCCAGCTACTGCTGGTGGAGACGTTGGTTGTCGGGAGAGAGCGGTGTGGTGTCTGGCTCGTGGTTAGGAGGAGGAGTGCGATAGGGGGTAGTGAGGTTGATTGGTGCGATGGAGAAGCGCTTCGCGAGTGTTTCAGCGTACTTGGATGCGGAGATGTGAATGGAGGAGGCGGACTGAGTCACATTGAGGCCGAGAAACTGGGTGACATTGTGGCTGATTGTCACCTCCAGTTTCTCTTTGATGTCAGCCTCAAACTGGTCCAGCAGCTCCGTGTCGTCGCCGGTGTAGAGAAGGTCGTCGACGTAGGCGACGAGGAGTACGAATTTCCCGCGCGATTCCCGCCTGTACATTCCGAGGTCGTGCGGCAGCTGAGTGAAGCCGAGCTCAAGGAGGACAGAATGGAGGTACTGCTGCCATAGACGAGGCGCCTGCTTGATTCCGTGGAGGGATTTTTGGAGGAGGCACACGGCGCCATCATTTTCTTCGAATGTGTGCGGCTGCTCGACGAAAATGATGGCATCGACGGGAGCGTAGAGGAAGGCGCTGTCGACGTCGATTTGCCGGAGCGGTCGCTGTTTGACGGTGGCGATGCAGATGAGAATGTGTACCGAGGTGTGGTGGCTGACTGGAGTGTAGGTGAGAGTGAAATCCACCAGGTGTGTTTGCTCAAATCCCCGCACTACCCAACGCGCCTTTGTGAGGATCTAGGATCGAGCTCAGAAAAGAGAATGTGAATTGAATCGAATTGAATGATCACCTGGGTACAACACGAGGCTATATATAGGCTCGACACAAGGCCCCGTAACCAGGTGTTACGCGAAGGTTCCGCGGGTCGCGAAGCGTCCCGAACAGATCCTTCCCGAATTCGGTAGAATGCAATTTGGTGGCAACCGAAAAGCCAGAATTCGGTGCACGCAACCTAGCTCGGTGCTACAACTATAATAAAATATAGGAAAGCACCTAGCCTAGGAAATCAAGCAATTCATGCATGCATATAATTATCCTATGCTAGAAATAGCATAATAAAGTAAAGGCAAGCAAGCATAGCTGGCATAAGCCGTCGTACTCTCACAGCCCTGTACTTGTCGACCGAACCGTCTGCAAGAGTTTTGATACGAAAAACCCATTTGCCGCTGAGAATTTTCCTCCCCTTTGCCGATGACCGAGGGACCAACTTCCAGGTGCCACGTTTCTTCAGCGATGCGATTTCGGCGGCCATGGCTGCTTTCCATTTTCCACTGTCTGGGCCAGATAGGGCTTGGCGGACGGTGATTGGTTCCTTGGGCGAGGTGCAGCGAACAGCGACGGCGAGGCCGAGAACGCGGAGACCAGTTTCGTCAGTCTTTTCGTAGTGAAGTCGGTCATAGTCGTGGAAGCTGGTAACTTCGACCACGTCATTATCGCTGTCGTTGCCGAGGTGGAGGGTATCCTGCGACATGTTGGGTTGTGGTAACTCGGCATCAGGTGACCGGCGCGCCTCACTGTTGTAGTCATGAGCCGCGCGAGTTGTATCGTTAGGATCGGGCTGGTGTAGAGGTAAGAATATCGGAGTCCCGAATTGGCTTGTGAGGGGGATGCTCGGAGCGGAGTCCATTGGGGTGACATCAGGTGCGTCTGCATCCTCGGCCAGGTCAGCTTCGTCGTGTGACGTGGCGAAGCTGCGGTGGCCCTCGAAGAGCCTCTCTGGAAGTTTGTCAGCTTCCTGGTGCTCCTTAAAAAGGGGCAGAGTCAGCTTCTCGTAGAAGATGCAGTCACGTGATTTCGTCACCTCGTGTGTCGCGTAGTCCAGCACGATCCACGCCTTGAATTCCTTCTCGATCCCGAGGTGGATGCCCCATCGTGCCCGGTCAGCAAATTTTCCGGTTCTCGCAGTGTGGGGTCTATACCGTACCATGCAGCCAAACACCCGAAGCAGGCGTGTATCTGCTTTTCTGCCCGTCCATGCCCGGTAGGGAGAGTTGTTGTTCGCGAGGACAGCAAGTTGTGCAGCCGAACAGCGTGATTCATCGCAAACGGCCAATATTTTGTTGGGATGGCCGACTGCTTCATCAGAGCCCTCATCCGCGTGGCGAGGCTACTGTTTGTCCGTTCTGCTACTCCTTGCTGTTGGTGAGCGTAGGGCAGGGACACCAGGTGCTCAATCCCCTTCTGCTTGAGGAGCTCCTTGAACTCGTCTGAGAAGAACTCCAAGGCTCCTTCCGTCTGCCAGGTTTTGAGTTTGAGACCGGACTGTCGCTCAGCCCGCTTCATCCACGCAATGAAGCACTCGAAGGCCAAAGACCTGCTGTCGGTGTTGACAGCCCAGACGTAGCGAGTAGATGCGTCGATGAAGGTAAGTGTGTACTGCTCCCCGTCGAGCCGCTCCTGGCTGAGCACCATAAAGTCGCTGTAAACCTTGTCCAGCGGCTTGTAGCGTTCATACCCTGGGGACAAATCGGGGAACAGCTGGTGATTGAGCGACACGGTTGGGCAGACGATGCATGGCGGGTTAGGTGAGTCCACGGTGAGGGAACCGTTTTGAGGAAGGAGGGGCGCGTCGTTGTCGAAGACTCCGGCCTTGAGCGAGTTTTTGAGCGTGGCTGCGGAGATAACTGCTGCAACGGGAGCTAGACTACGGGCTAGGCACGTGTGCTCGTGTGATCTCGGCGTTCATTCACTTAGTCGTTTCCTTGTGTTCACGCTTCTTGCTAGTTCACGGGGAGAATTGGCAAGAGTTTCACTAGGAAAAGTTCAGAACAATGATACAATGAAGTTAGCATAGCAAGACTACATCAGAGCAAGCATTCAGGTCGGCCAACTGCCAGCGCAGCTTGGTCAACCGCGTTCCAGCACGACTTGGTCGACCGCGCTCCAGCAAGGCAAGGTCGATGGTGTGCCAACGTCGCAGGTGGACGGCGTGCCAGCGTTGCTCACGCAGGAC